CTCATGCAAGGAAAATTTGAGATGAGCATGATGGGGGAACTCAACTACTTCCTTGGCCTTCAAATCAAACAGAGAAGTGAAGGGACTCTCATCAACCAAGCCAAGTACACAAGGGATCTTATCAAGAAATTCAAAGTCGATCAGAAGTCATCCGTTTCAGTCCCCATGAGTACATCCACCAAGCTTGATATAGATGTAGATGGAAAGGATGTAGATCAAACTCTCTACAGAGGAATTGTCGGATCTCTACTCTACCTTACTGCAAGCCGTCCGGATATCTCATATGCAGTAGGTGTTTGTGCCAGATTCCAGTCAAAGCCAAAGGAAAGTCATCTGATAGCAACTAAAAGGATTCTTAGATATCTCAAAGGAACTCAGAACATGGGTTTATGGTATTCTAAGGGCAATTCATTTGAGTTAGTAGGATACTCAGATTCTGACTTTGTCGGATGCAAAGTTGACCGGAAAAGTACATCTGGTACCTGTCAATTCATTGGTGGAAATCTTGTTTCTTGGTTCAGTAAGAAACAAAACTCCATTTCTACATCAACAGCAGAAGCAGAATACATTGCTGCTGGTAGTTGTTGTGCTCAGATTCTGTGGCTAAAACAACAACTACTAGACTATGGAGTCAAAACAAAGGAAGTGACAATCTTTTGTGACAATCAAAGTGCTATAGCCATCTCTCAAAACCCAGTGCATCATTCTCGCACTAAGCACATTGATGTCAAGCATCACTTCATCAGAGATCATGTGGAAAAGAAAGATATCAAAATCGAGTATATCTCAACTGAAGAACAACTGGCAGATATCTTCACTAAACCACTAAGTGAAGCCAAGTTTTCCGGTTTACTCCACAAAATTGGTCTAATTCAATTAGACTGAGTGCGGTACACGTGGCAGTCCACTTTCCACGTCTGTCAATATAGTGGGTAGGCACGTGGCCTTGGGAATAGTCAAAAACCCAATCGCCACCAGCCGCGCAAATCGCCCAAATAAAACCCAATTGCCACTATTCAGATCTAAACCGCCTATTCAAAAATTTTCGTCGTCTTCTTCGCGAAAAACTCTCAAGAACCCTAGGTCTCTCTCTTTCAAATTCTCACTCAAATTTCTGAGAAAATGAAGGTTGTCGGCGCTAATATTCACTTCCAGAAGTTAGAAGCCAAGTGCTCTTCACCAACATTCTTTCAAAGCTATCTGGAGATGATAACCGCTCAAGAACTCTCCGAATTTCTTCAAATGGAGATTCGCCTCAAATTTGAAGAAGAAGTTCTTGAATTCTACAGAAATGGAGAGGTCAAGACTGTTCATTCAAAGAAGGACCCACAGAGGACGTTTCCAGTCATCAAGTCCACTGTTGGAGGTACAAAAGTGAAGCTTTCGCAGAAGAAATTGGGAGAAAAGCTTCGCCTTCCCAATTCTGGAGTTGAAATTGGGAAATTTCCAGTCAAAAATCTGGACTGGAACATCATTGGAATCTCTAGGCAAATTCCTTCTGCCCCAGCGAAGAAAGCAGATCTGAACAACGACTACAAGTTAGTTTTGGAACTGGTCATCGCTTGCCTCGAGTGTGGAAGCGGAGGTCATGCCGATGACATCACACAGGAGAGAGCCTTCATCATCAACGCTCTAATTACCCAATCTAAGGTAAATTGGGCTGCACACTTCTTTAAATCCATCTCAAAACATCTAGGAAAGCACAATCAGAAGTAGCTTTGTCAAGGTCTCTACATTGGACATGTTTTGGAGTCTACGGGTGCTGCTTCTAAAGGAAAGAAGTATGAAGAAAGATATTGGTTATACTATCTGTCTTCAAAAGGGGAAAACAGAACTGGTGCTAGTGTCACTGCAGAGGAAAGCTCATCAGATAATGTCCCACTCATCCATATGGCGAAGACTGCCAAAAGGAAGCAAGTGTTGTCTCCCTCCATTAGTGTTGAAGCACCACAGAACCTCGCTCTGGTCAATGTGGAAGAAGCAGAAGAAGTCTCTGTCCAAGGAGAACTTCAAAGGAAGAAGAAGAGGAAACTCTCCTCTCCCTCAACATCTGGATATGTCAACTCGGATAAGTTGAAGGAGAAGGAACCTGCTGAGGAAACCTCTGCCCACAACCGGAGTCCTCAACAACTTGAAGAAGAAATCCCTCAAGTACAAAGCCTTCCAACCTCCTCACCTCAACCTCAAATGGATGATGCTGATAACCAATTCTGGCAGCTCTACTATGATTGGAGAGCATGGAAAGTTGGAAATTCAGCAGAGCAACTGATGGATTGGGACCAACAGCTGAAGAATGAGAAGATCATCAAGAAATGCTTAGGAATACCAGTCAACCATAGCTGTGAAGAAATCTTGGATGACTACTGGGTATGGCAAAGGAACCATGAAGACCTGCATCTGGAATACCTAGCCAACTCACCAATTTCAGAATTTGAAGTAGATGATGAAGATCCTTTAGTCTACAAACCAGTCTTCTCTAAAGCCACAGAAGAACAGGTGGTTCTCACTTCTGAAGCACAAGCTATTTTGGAAGCAACAGCTGAGGACTTCCAAACATTTCCAGAAACCTCACCTGCTCTTCAGGAAATCTCACATGCTTCTGAAATGGTTCTGACTGAAGCTGTCCAAGAGAAGGCAGCCTCTCCCCCACAAGAACAAAACCAGAAAACAACAGAAGAAGAAGAATCTCAGCAACCAATCCAATCTCAAGCTTTAGAGATTCTCACAACTTCTTGTGAGATCTCCAATCACACTGGAACTGAGATCCCGGAGAAGTCAGCAGAAATTCTGGAACAGTCAACTTTTCCAGATACAAATGAAGAGGAGCAAGCTGTAGAAGTCCAAAGGAATTCTGGAGAAGCTGAGAAGGAAACTCAAATGGCAGAACTGGAGTTCTCTAAAACTCCAATAGCCATTCTTGAAGAACAAAATGAAGCTGAAGATAGTGATTCCCTCTCTAGATATATATCGAATTTTGTGCTTGATGAAGCAGAAGGAGAATCTGAGAGAACATTAAAGATCACTGATGAAGAAGATGTACAAGAAGATGCCGAATCTCTTCCTATGCAACTGTTTCAAAGAACACCCTCTTCTCATCAGGTAACCAACTTTCATTTCCATAGCTCTTCCACCCCTACACTTCCGGATGAAATACCGAAACTCTGGACGAAGAAGGTCCAAGGGTTGATTGAATCAGCCCTAGCATCTCAACATGCCTCCTTTAGGCAAGAGATAGAGCAAATGGAAGCCAGGTACACCAAGCTGATAGAGAAATCTAAAGAGAAACACAACGCAGATCTCAAAGATATAAGCAAGTCAGTGCACAAGACTCTAGAGATCATCTCTCTATTGAGCAAAACTGTGAGCAACACGATGGAGATATATGCATCTGACACTCATCTTCAACTCAAGGAGATTAACAAAGTCAAAGAGCAAATAGCTAATATCACCGTCAGCCTACAAAAGCAAATGTCTCTTCTCCAAATGGACATCAAATCAGCTCTAGCAGTATCTTCAGCAAATCAAGTAGTGACCAAAGACTACTTGAAGGTGATCATTGACAATCAGAAGGAAGCACATAAACTGTTCAGACTTCTTGGCGCAAAGTCTGGAAATCGCAAGATGGAAGTAATTCTTCAACAACACAGTCCATCCTTGATACCAAAACTCCCCATTGCAGTCAAAGAAGGAGAAGTCTCTTATATCCCTTCTCATCTGAACATGACTAATCTAATCCTTGAAGCACAGCAAAGAAATCCGGAGAACTCAGCGCAGCACCTATCCAGCTCAGGATTGGATGGAACAGAGGCTATAGGAACTGTTGCTGCTCACTTCTCAGATGATAACCAAACAGAGGAGAGACGCAACAATATAAGGCGCATCAAAGAACTTTGTGGCAACATGCAAGGTATCAGTGAGGCTGCCAGATCTTCAAAACGCAAAAGGAACTGAAGGTTCTTTTCATCAAACCAGGGGGAAAGTATGTGAAAACACTAATTTGCTTTGATGAAAACACCTTCTTGTTTAAACATTGCTTGATTGGTTTAAACATTGCTTCAACAATTCTCTTATTTGTGCTTATTATGCTTATCTCAAGTATGATTTTGAGAAATTTTGTTTCTGAAGCGCATACATTCAGGGGGAATGTAGTTCAGGGGGAAATTAACTAGTTTTGGCTAATAATTGTTTTTGGCTATGAATTATTGATGAGCTCTAAGCAATGGAAGACGGATATCTCAGTTTTGGTACCAAAATTGGAAATCTCCGTTTCAGGTACTTTACAAAATCTGCCTTCTTAAACTAAGCTTTAATCCTTAATTCATTTCCAACTAACTCTAAAAGTACTGGTCCTTAGGATTTTTATAATGTACAGGACTTTGGAAAAATAGTACCACTTTTCTTTTAAAAATAAAATTCATATTTGTTTTGGTACTACCTCGTTCTAAGTAGAAATTAGAACTATAGGGAATGAAAAATGATAGTTTTATTTTGGGCCTTGAGAACCCAATAGGAATAATTTCCCTTTAGTACATAGCCTTCTTTTCTTTTTGGGCCACTCTTTTGGGCTTAGCCAAAACAAAAACAGTTACGTTTCTCAAACCAAACGAAACTGATTTTCTAATTGGGACAGTTTCAATTTCTTGGAAATCGGTAAAAAAATTCCTTCCACTTTTCAACTTCTTGGAAGTTGAAACTCCTTTACTCTCACCGTTCCAACTACTCATTTAATGGAACCCGTGAACCTCCTCCTCCCCTATTTAAATCAAGACATTCCAATCCATTTCCATCACAAACAATTCTTTCAACATGAAAAGTCTTCAATTCACTGTCTGAGAAAAACACCAAGAAAATTATTCTCAATGGAGAAATTTCTCTTTCTCACCCTCATAGACGGCAATGGAGAAAAGCCTAGTGAGAAGAAAAATAATCTAAAGTTTATGGTGCAATTCTCGGCAGTAGAGAAAGTTTATGGTGTAATTCTCGTATTTTTTCAGGATTATACCATACACTTTCTCTGGAATAACACTCTCTCCATTTTCGTCTCATCTTTTTTTTTCTCTTTTTCTTCTTCAAATTTTAATTTTTGAGCAATCGCCGCACTCTTCTTACAAGCATTTTTTTAAAATTTTTGTGCAGTCTCTGCTTCCTTCTCCCAAATATTTTTTTTTTTAAATTTTTTTTTCCCCTAATTATCCTTTAAATTCTTTTTCAAAATTTTTATTTTTCCCTTCATCTTTGAAAACCTTATTTTATCTTTTTCACAATCAATTCTCTTTACCAAAACTTTTTCTTGTCTTTCTTTTTTTTTTGTTTTCTTCTTTCGTTTTTTTTCTTGTTGAGAGATGTGTTGCTTCCAAGATCTTGAATATCTACTTTCACTACAAAAAAAGGAGGCAATACCGACAGGGGTCAATCTGTCGCTAAAGGTTGAATATCTGTCGCTAATCGCTTTTACCAACAGATAATTGTCTGTCGCTACGCTGTCGCTAAAAACTCCGTCAGTAAAAGTATTACCGACAGATAAAATATACTGTCGCTAAAATAATGTAATAGCGACACACCAAAAATGTCGCTAAAAAAGAGAGGAATACCGACAAAACATATATGTCGCTAAAACATGGATTACAGACAAAAAATAATGTGGGTAATTCCTTCATTTCTGTCGGTAATACCTTGTTTTTGTTACCAACATTTACATTTATTATAACTGTTGCTAAAATTTAGATTACCCACAAAAAATTGTGTGAGTAAAATATTTTTTTCTGTCAGTAATAGTTTATTTTGACCAACATTAACATTTATTATAATTGTTACTAATACCATGGTTCACACCACCATGCTCTATTTAAGTGATATCAAAGAATATTATTGACAAATAAAAAATAATATTCATACTTGTATTAACAACTAACCCATTTACTAGAAAGTAAACCAAAACCTCAAAATTAGTTTATCATTTGCATACGTTTCAAGCTAAAGTATAAACAGTCAAAGTGAACTAAATTAAAATACGCATTGATATGGAAGATATAGTCCAAAGCTTTAATGCTCGTCACTGAAAATATCTTCAAGTTGGCACTCTCAACTTCATCATCTTTGTTCCAACGATCATCATGACTTTCCTCAGGGGTTGTATTACCATCAATTGTAAGGTCATTAATTTCAGATTGATTAGCCGTTGAACCCTATGCAAAAAAAATTATAAGCACATGATAACGTAATTACAAATTTTGCACCAAATTTACCTTACACTCATGTTAGGTGTCATAACTTTAAACTATATAATGAACTAAGCAAAAATCAAATGAAATATGGGTAGTTAACACTTAACAATGATAGATAGAGACTAACCACGGTATTTAAAACCAATGATACTACATCTTCTAAATTCTGGAGTCTTTCTTTTGTTTCTTCATGCTCTTGTTCAATTTTCAAGCGTCAATCCAAAATATTGACTCAATTGATTGGGTAGCAGTGTCTGGCTAAGTACACACAATTGGTGACATATGTGACTATGGAATACTTAACGATGTGTCTACTTAACGATGAATTCGTTATGATGAGATCATTTGGTTCAACCGAGAGCTCACCGCTACACACTTGACACCAATTCCAGCTCCAAGTGCACTAAATTGTTGACAGATTTGAACTGCAAGTTCTCTGGAAGAGGAGATAAAGACAACTCAGACAATGAGGTCATAAAAGGAACTCAGGAGAAAAGAGTAAAAGAAGCCACAAACCTAGTCGGAGAAAGCACGCACGCAAAGAACGCGTAGGGATTGGGCGGATCGGCTGGGGATGCTTTGCGAGAGGCTAGGAGTGCTTGCATTATGGGAATTGCAAAACCTCCAGTCTTTCCTTAGCCCGTCTATGCAACCCCAATTATATCTCTCCCTTAACAATAGATACCCATTTCAATTACAGTATTGATTTAGAACCTCAACAAATATTGCATGAAACTTTAAAAACAAACTAAAAATGGGATGAACATTTAAGAGCATGAGTAATAACCTCGGCTTGAACCTTAGAAGTGGTTTTCCAGCCCAAATTGTGGCAAGCCTCCATAAGTTGGTCGCACACTCCTAAAAGTGTAAAACAACTTTTTTTCAAGTTCTCTTCACATATGTTGAAAAACAAAAGTCACCAAGTTCAAAAACAAAATTCTCCAAGTGTTGATGAAAGGATATAGAGACACCTAATTGCCACCCGGGGCTGCCGAACAGTACAAGGTAACCCAAGCAGACTCAATTACACCCAAACAGACCCAATTAGACCTGATTGAACCTAATTAAGTCCAATTGGACCAATTTGGGCTCAATTCAAACTGCCAAGTAGTATTCCAAAACCGACTGACCCACTGCCGCCATTCCATCAGCGACCCGCAAGGGGTTTCGCCGGAAAATCTAACCCAACACAATCCCCAATCAACTGAACATCTAATTGACCCAATTACACAATCAATTGCACGATCTATACAAATACGATTCTAATCTACAAATTAACGCTAACATATAAACATGACTCACCTTGATAATCGATGGAATTGAAATTAGGGTTGAAGAACCGCCACTACAAATTCCGCCGGCGTTGCTGCACGAAGAGCGAGAACGGAAGAACGAAGAGGACGGCTACTTAAGATGGCGGCGATGTCCAGCAATAATGACGACGGAAGAATCAAAGAGAGTCAGCTTCCTATCTGGTTTATCGCTCGACAGAAAAGAATGGAAGGGAAAATCGGTGATCGGGCGGAAAAGAATAATACCTGCGCAACTCCTTATTAACACTACAGTTAGGGTCCAATAACATTTTCCTACTTCGATTAGTATTAGTTTGGGTCCAATTACTTGATTCGTTATTCATAACTTAGGCTCATTAACTCCGATTCACGATCTGTTTGCGTGATTAGTTTCAGAACAGCAAAACCTACAACACCGGGTAACTTGTCACAAAAAGGGAAATTCCAAAATTAGCCACGTTCAAGTCCGGATCAGTAATTATTTATTTATTTAAGTTTGTTAAAATACTAAGGCGGGTTTTGGAGCGTTACAATTTTGGGACACAAAATTAAAATTAAATTGAAAAAAATAGTTTTTATTATTAGAAATTTTAAATTTTAGCGTTTAGTTCCTTCAAAAAAAAGTAGTGGTTAGTTTATGTTTTTTTAAGTTTTTTAATTTAAATCTGTGTTTAGTAGGGCACTTTCAGCAGTCTACCCCTTTCCCAAAAGGTCTCGGCGAGACCCACTGGGGACCGATCGGTCTAAGACCCATTACGATCCATCTTCAACCCAAAATATTGCTTTTTAGACCGTTAATTTTGCAGTTTCGTCTTCTTTGGGTCTTTTCCTACTTGTTTACAGTTTTTTAGCTATAAATGTCTTACTTGTGAGCAGTTTTATGCAAACTTGGTATGACAGTTACTTCGGTTTTTGGTTTTCGGTTTCATGGTTAATCCCCTGATTTTTGGTTTCCGATTTGCGGTTGACCGACATATCTTTTAACCGTATTGGAAATGGTTAAGAATCTCTACCTTATTATTCTACACCAATAATATGAATAATTCTACATATCTCCACTAGCGTTTTCATCCCTCTCGTTTTAAATTTGTTGATTTGTTCTTTTATTATATATCTTGATTCTATTCGGTCAGTTTAGTCCTTTAGTTTTAACTTATAACTTAAAACAAAGTCTTGATTCTATTCGGTCACGTTTTCAAAAGAAACGAAAAAGTTTTAAATTTGAAACAAAGTCTATTCACCCCCCCCCCCCTCTAGACTTTGTATCTCACCACTTTGGGACCACCAGTGCACATTAGCCGGATAGGTGCCGGGCGTCAAACTTAATATTCGTGAGGGATTTATAATAGCCGTCGCGCACATGTCCATTACTAGCGTTCAACATACATTCAGCATGCATTCACAAAACGCAGTAAATAAACGTGTAATGATTGTGGCCCCTAAAAGAAAAATAAAACGATAGCTCCCACGGGCTTCCAGGCACTTGGACTTCGGGCTATCTCCATTCTTTTAGATTTCTTCAAACGGACTTCAAAACTTTTCGTCTTCAAACCACCACGTGAGAAAAGAATCCTCGGTTGAGGTAAGAGAGAGAAATAGATTTACAACAAGAGTTTAAGAGATAAGGCACGACACGCACGCCGTATTATAATCAAATAAACTATAGCCACAATCATCCACCATGCATATCATACATCCACACAGGCAATAGAAGTATACATACACCGGGTGAGCCGCGCTCACCCCAGACAGTCCTAGAAAAATAATACGGTAGTAAATATTTTCTAAAACTCATAAAATTAAATTAGATGTCCAAATAAATCTAATAAAATTTTATAAAAAAATAATTTATATATTCTGGATATTCTTCCAGCATAAAAAAAATTCCAGAATATTTCAAATGACCAAAATGCCCTTTTTGCAAAATTAAATTCAAAAAGGCAATTTAATTACGAAAACATTTTGCAAAAATCATGAAAACTAAATTTCAACTTCCAGTAATTATTTTAAACTTTTATAAACCTGGAAATAAAATTTCCAAAATTTATAAATCATTATCTCCAAAATATATTAGTTAAATCTCAATAAGTTATAAAAAGCCTTTTAAATTATTTTCGAAAACATTAAATTATAAACTCTTCTCCAAGCTGTTCAAATCCGTGGACACCGATGATAAGCCATCAGATAAATCCAGCTTCAAAGGCTGTCCTTCTGTTTCCTTCTCTAAAGAAGAAGTTGAGGCCCTCTCCAACTGTTTCAGGTTTGCTCTGATTGGCAGATTCCGGCGTAGACCTCCCATTGTAGTGGTGAAAAACTTCCTGATCAGGTTAGGCTTGATTGGAGGTTTTACGATTGGTGAGCTCAACTCCAACTCAATTCTCATCAACTTTGAGCAAGATGAAGATTATCAACGTTTCTTCCTACGCAAATCTTGGACTCTTGGAAAGGATATCATGGTAGTAACTTTCCAAAATATATATTAGTCATTTATGAAGTTAAAATACAAATATATACATATATATAATATTTCGGTAATAATAGCTAGTACATATATAAATATATATTTATTTAATTACTAACTAATATTATTTTGTACAATATATTTATCAACAACCTTATTTAACTTAGAAATAATATTTCCAAGTTTAATAAAGTTCATTTTGAATTTTCCCATATTTATTTTTGGTTTCACCTAAATAAATACAATAAATTCAAAATAGGAAATAATACATTCAAAAATTACAATATAATTTTATCAATCATAAAATAATGTTTTATGTCCAAATAAAATTATATTTACTATTTCTACAATATATATAAATATATATTTCGAAAAATCAATATATATATATTTATATATATATATTTCGGGTAGAAATAAAATAAATAAATTTAAAATTTATTTTCAATGATTTATTTAAGTCCAATACTTATTTCAAGACTAAATTAAATCATTTTACTAATTTTTGAATTTTAATAATTACCAAGTTAAAACTTTGACTTTTAAAATTTAAAAAGTCAAACTTAAAACTATAGTTTGGTACGTTGGCTTCGATACCACTGAAAGGAAACCATGCAAGGATAGGCAGCGGAATATAAAAATTTTAACATCCTAACATGATTATCTTGCTCAGAATCATGTACTAAAACTTATAGTGAGTAAGAAATTTATACCTTTCTCCGTAAGCGGTAAAAACGAAAAAGTCGTAGGAAGAGCGTTGAAAGTGCAAACGTAACCGTTCAAGCGTCCGGTCTCCAACTTTGACACACGAACAACGCCAGAGTCTACCACAATCTTTATGCTAGTAAAGATTATAGTAGTATAAAATATAAAGATTAAAATTTGGAATAATAATAATCTTGTATATTTCTATAGAAAATATTTCTAATAATATTTAGAAAATATTATAGATATTTTCTATACACAAATGATATTAATGGAACCAAATATAAAATTTCTCTCACTAGAAATTTATGGCCGAAAACCACACCCCAATTTGATAATTTACACTCTCCCTTTATAATTGTCATGTTTTCAACAAATGATTTGTCAATTTTGTCATTAAGCTAAAAGATAAAGTAATGAACAATTAATCAAGGATTATGGACAAAGTGAGATCCCAATTAGCCGTATGTTTTGATTTGAGAAAGTGAGAAGAATTTTTCAAAATTCTTCTCCACTTAAATGTTCATAGTGTATTTTATTTGACACCAAAAATTAATATAAAATTAATTTTAAATCAAATAAAATACCAATATCATTTTTAAACAAGTATAAAATATACTTCAAATAGTTTATGTCAAAATAATTATTTTCATAATTAAAATGACAAACCAAAATAATATATTCAACATATAACATAATATATATATATATATATATATATGTATGTATATGTATATGTATATGTCTATATATATATATATATGTATATGTATATATATATATATGTATATATATATATATATATACATATATATATATACACATATATATATATATACATATATATATATATATATATATATATATATATTAAATAAAAATTTTATTAATGAAATCGAAAGGAGGGTACAATCTCGTTAAAGAGAGCGGCTTTTACAGAAGAAGAACAATCGCTAATATTACAATATTCAATGCATCCTTTGGTTGTGTCTTCTTTAGCTAATAAGTCAGCGGGCTGATTTCCTTCCAAAGAGTATGAGACGTCCAAATGTCATTATCTGTGATCATGGTACCCAAGATATCAATTGGAAAAGGAGAGTGTGAGTGATGAACATATTTTGCAAGTCTCACAGTGATTTCCTTAGCATCCGTCTCGAACACAAGGAGTTTATTAAACTTGAGCGCCCATGTTATTCCTTTGATGGCTGCATCCACTTCAGCTTGGTAGGGTGATTCACCTGTAACTTGGAAAGAGGCGGCACCAACGAATCTTCCCTGGTCATCTCTAAGAATAGCTGCTCCCTGCTTAGCATTATGGGTGAAAGAAGCATCCACATTAAGTTTGAGCCTGCCCTTAGGAGGTGCTAGCCACTTGACCAATCGAATGGAAGGATTGGATTGGAATTTAGGCAGTAAGTTTGTGCCTATAAGCCAAGCATCAAAGACTCTAAGTTGTTTAGGCAGTTTCATTTGGAGCCAGTTCCTTGTATACCTAGAAATGGAATCAATAAGCTTTGAGGGATTGAAATTGTTCATGTCCTCATAGAAGAGTGAGTTAAGAGCTTTCCAAATGTGCCATGAAATGATTCCAGGCAAGTGCTTTCTTAGGAAACCATAAATGTTATTGTTTCCTCTAAGCCACCAGTTCATGAAGTGTTGGTTAATACTTGTGGAGTCCTGGTGTAAGATTCCAACACAGGCTGAGAAATGATGCCAAACCCCTTTGATCATATGGAAGTCTATAAGGGAATGTTTGGCAGTGTAAGATTCCCTTTGACAGAAAGGACACATTGAAGGCATGAGGAAACCAAGTTTCTGCAGATTCTCAGGACTAGGAATACAGTGCTGGAACAGTTTCCAAGTGAAGATGCTGATTTTTGGGTTTTGGGGGGATTCCCAAAGGTATTTAAAAGAGGCCCTGGGGATTGAACCTGCTCTACAGAATTCATATGCTGATTTGAAGGTTAAAGAGCCACTAGGATCAAGCTTCCAGTGCATCATGCCATCATCAGAGACAGAACAAGTGTCAATGGCAGATTCATCAATGTTGAAGATTCTCTTCCAGACTGGGGAATCAATAATGTTGGCCTTCATCTCACCATCCCTCCAATATTTAGCTCTCATTAGCTTTGCCCATAATCCATTATCATGATGGTATTTCCACCAAAGTTTAAGACTAAAAGCTTTTTCTAAGCTATTGAAGTCTCTTGTACCCAGGCCACCTTCGTCTTTGGGGGTACAAAGCTTCTTCCAACTTCTCCAATGATGCTTTCCTCCCCACCAAAAGTTGGCCATTTTGTGATCCAACAAAAGTTTGATGGATTTAGGGAGTGTGTTAGTTGCCAGGAAATAGTTGTGAAGAGTGTTAAGGGCATGATTAATAAGTACTAGACGACCTGCTTGATCCAAGTTTTTTTGGTACCATCCATTTAATTTCGAATCAAAGGAAGAAATAAGGTTGGTGCAGTGAATATGTCTAGTGATTCCCAAGTCAATAGGAATACCTAGATAAGTAAAAGGATAGCTCTTATGGGACATTCCCAGCAGTCTTTCCAGCTTGGATATGGCTAAAGAGTTAGGCTTGGAACCCATCATGAAGCTGCTCTTAGTGTAATTGATGGTCTGCCCGTAGACCAGTTGGTAATCGTGGAGGAATCTTTTGAGGTTGGAAACAGATCGGCTATGTCCCGAAGAGAAGATAATGATATCATCAGCATAAGAAAGGTTGGTAATAGGGATGGACTTTCTCCCTAAATTGTACCTGTCAATGAAGCCATCAAGAAACAATTTGTTAAGGTTTCTAGAGAAACCTTCATTAGCAATAATAAAGAGGAGAGGAGAGAGAGGATCTCCTTGTTTGATTCCTCTTGATTGACCAAAATATCCACATGGTTTGCCATTGACCAAAATGGAATATTTGGAGGAGGTAAGCAGGTTGTTAACCATGCGGATGAACTGAGGAGAGAAGCCAAAAGCCTTGAGGATGTCCATCAGGTATGACCATTTAAGCTTATCAAAAGCTTTGGCCATGTCAAGTTTGACGATAAGGTTTCCACCATGAGCTTTCCTATTGATGTGATGTACCAACTCCTTAGTGATAAGAATTTGCTCCATAATCTCCCTTCCTGGAACATAAGCCCCTTGTTCTTCAGAAATAATTAGATGAAGGAGCTTTCCAAGCCTATTAGCAATGCATTTAGAGGCAATCTTTGAGGCCATAGTAGATAGGCAAACTGGTCTAAAATCATTGAGTCTCATTGCATTATCAGTTTTAGGAAGCAGGCAAATATTCGATGAACTTGCTGCCTTGGGAAGAGGAATTCCAAGGAAGACCTCTTGGCAAGCAGAAGTTAAATCGTCTTTGATAATATCCCAGCATTGCTTGAAAAAGTTGATGTTGAAACCATCTGGACCAAGAAAGGAATTAGGATCCATGCCCCAGACAGTAACTTTGATTTCCTCTTCAGTGGGCAGAGACATAAGACATTCATTCTGAGTGTGATCTATAAGATGAGGGATGGTGCTAAGAAACTGTGAATAAACTTCACTAGAGCTGCAAGGTTCTGAGGAATTTAAGAGAGTAGTGAAATGGGTAACTGCAAGGGCTTCCAGGTCATCTGGCTTATCAATTAATTGTCCTTGATCATTGAAGAGACTTGTAATCTGCTGTTGTCTCCTCCTTTCTTTCACCAGGCTGTGAAAGAATTTTGTGTTGGCATCTCCATCTTTCAACCATTTAAGGTTACATTTTTGCTTCCAAAAGGCATATTCTCTCCTATGAGCTTCCTGAAGTTCTGCCAATTTCTGATTATAAAGGATTTTGTTATCAGTTGAAGGGTCAGCCTCAAACAGCTGCTCAGCTTTAGTGGCATCAGTTTCTGCCTCCTTAATCATGTCAAAAATGTTGCCAAAATGAGTTTTATTCCAGGAAGAAAGTTTCTCTTTGAGATGATGAAGTCTTTTGAAGAGACTATGCATTCCCCCATGAAAAGGAATTTCCTCCCAACTATCCTTGCAGATCTGCCTAAAATCTTCTCTTAATAACCACATATTTTGGAATCTGAAGGATTTGGTGGTGTTTTTAGCATCAGGTTTGGAGAGAAATAAAATGGGGCAGTGATCACTTCCACCCTTAGCAAGATGCTGCATCGAGATTATGTTCCAATGATCAGCCCAGAAGGTATTGTAGAAAACTCTATCAAGACGCCGCCATACATTACCATTGCTTCTGACCCCATGCCAAGTATAAGCTGATCCAGTGTAATTACATTCAAGGAGGTTGTTGTTCCTGATGCAGTCACTAAAATCAGTAATAGCCTCCAGCTCAGGCAACCTAGAACCCTTGTGATGAAGAAAGTCTGAAATGGTGTTGAAATCCCCCCCAAGGCACCAAGGGTGATTGACATTGGCATTGAATGATTCAATATTACTCCAAAGAAGTTTCCTGTCCTTAGTGGTGTGACCCCCGTAAATACCACTAATGGTGAAAGTAAAACTCTTGTGGATATCCCTTAGGGAGAAGTGAGAAATCTGCCCAGCGTCAATGACATCAATCAAAGAAAACCTACTAGTGTCCCAAAGGAACCAAATTTTGTTATTAGCAGCACTAAGGAACCCATTAAAACCCAGCTTAAAAGCTAGGGTTTTACCTTTATTAGCCATAACCAGAGGTTCAATGAGAACAAAAAAATCAATAGAACGGTGCTTCTTCAAGTGGGAAAGCCTCTCGCACCTCTTGGAGACTCCCCGTACATTCTAAAAGAGAGAATTAATCATTTAAGGGCCTGGAAAACCCCTTCCCCAGACTTTTTAAAGTCTGAACGTGTCCTGATTCTTGAAAAAAGCTGAGAAGAGGCTCCCACTGGCGAAGAAGGTGCTGAAGAGGAGGTTCTCTTCACCAGAATATCAATCTGAAGTCCAGGGGAGATATCTGAGGAGGCATGTTGTAAAATGGGCTCCACACGTTGTTCAGTTGCATGCATGAGGTTTTCAATGATAGTAGTCCCACTATGAATAGGAATGGGTTCTGAGCTGGAGTAAGCAAGACCATTATTATCCAAATAAATTACCTCATGTGACTCAATAAATTGAACCTGGGGCCTACGCCGGGCTCCAGTTTTGGATGATTCCTCTTGGCATAAGGCTGCTTGAGTTTCTGCTTTGGCCGTATCTTCTTGGCTCAAAACTGCCTGGTCATTACCTGGTAGGGGATCCTGAGTGAAAGTGGGATTTATGCTGTCGTCTCTTCCTTTGCACATTGATCCATTCATTTTCAATAAGCTTGCCCTTGTCTTTACGTGGTTGCACAGTTCATGCCGGCGGTTGGTTTCCCACTGGGATTTCCGGCTGGTAAGCTCCCTTGCAGATGGTGGCGTTGTGACCAAGCCTATGGCAAGAGTCACAAAAGGAAGGAGGATCCTCGTACAGTACCTGGAAAAAGAGGTCATCATCGATATGCTTGACGTGGATCTTCTGATGAAGGTTCTTGGACACGTCAATCTCAATGCACACTCTAGCAGCTTTAGGACGAGAGAAGTTGAGTGTGGCGCTGTCAACCTTGAGAGGTTTACCCAGTTTGGAGGTGATGCAGAATAAAGCTTTTTGGTCATGAAGGTGAATGTGGAGATTCGGGATAGTCACCCAGACCGGCACAATTGGAGAATCTTCATCAGGACGAAGGTTGGGAGACCATTTGGTTACTACCATGATATCCTTTCCAAGAGTCCAAGATTTGCGTAGGAAGAAACGTTGATAATCTTCATCTTGCTCAAAGTTGATGAGAATTGAGTTGGAGTTGAGCTCACCAATCGTAAAACCTCCAATCAAGCCTAACCTGATCAGGAAGTTTTTCACCACTACAATGGGAGGTCTACGCCGGAATCTGCCAATCAGAGCAAACCTGAAACAGTTGGAGAGGGCCTCAACTTCTTCTTTAGAGAAGGAAACAGAAGGACAGCCTTTAAAGCTGGATTTATCTGATGGCTTATCATCGGTGTCCACGGATTTGAACAGCTTGGAGAAGAGTGTAGAACGTGCAGGGTTGCCTGAGCTTGACGTCGTAGTTGCCGGAAAGTGTGTCGGGAACTTCGCCGAAATACTTTCTCTCTCTATCACCATTATATATATATATATATATATATATATGTATATATATATATATATATATATATGTATATATATGTATATGTATATGTATGTATATATATATATATATATATATATATATATATATATATACATA